AGAATCGGGCTTCGGACTACCATGTGGACAGGTTTAACTCAGAATCCCCCTCCAACTAATATGAGGGGTAGCTATACAAAACGGCAACTACTGAAAGACTGGTCGCAGCCCAGCAAGACTATTGTACAGTCTAAAATCCGCAATAGCGTTCTCTGTTTCYGCCGCTGGTGAAGACGGCAGGCMTCTCCCACTGGCTAAAAGCGATGATGGGCTGTCTTTTCCCAAGATCTTCTTGAGATCGTTATAGTGCTCTACCATTCCAGGCGAATGCCAACCAATGTGTTTAGCGATATCTTCCCTGGCGACTCCTAGTAACTCCAGAGTAATAGAACAACCTGAACGGCAACTGTGGGGTGTTTCTCCTTCGTCGATACCTATCGATTTCAAGTAATTCTTGAGCCTATTATACACTGCGCTACCGATGAATGGTTCCGCAGAGATGTGGCCTCGTTTGGTAGTTGTTCTGTATAAGAAACCCGCCGAGATGTCAATCTGGATGGCGCGGCACACCTCCACATAGATCTTAAAGCTAGACACGGGACATGTCTCGATACATCTTCCGGGACGYACGGCAAAGACATGAGTGTTTGAGCCCCTCAGGGTTTTCCCAAACGTGTGGTTGACCAAAAGTCCCTTGGATTCCGGCAGGAAGAACACCTCCTTCCCTACTTAAAATGTACATTTGCGTTGGGGAATTGCCCGGGTCCTTTAACAAGTTCCGTATATGCTGCATTAGCCTACGCAATTTGTCCTCAAACAGGGGAATAGCTTTGTTTGGCCGTACTCCTGACTGGGCTTGCTCTTCTCGGATAYTCTTCAGATAGTCCTTAATGACCTTGTGCGATAGCGGGTTCCCAATGCCTARTCGATCATCCCATTCACCTCCTAGACCTTCTTGGTTAAAGATGGCTCTCAATTTTCCGATTAAACTGTCCACAGTTCCAGCGGACAAACGGGTGGGGCAATCGCAAGATACCGACTTGTTTTTACCCARTTCGTTGCACTCAGGGCGGTGTACGATCGTTTTCCCATTGTTGTCCTTCCAAATCAGGAACATACGCAAGTCATATGGCGATGCTGAAGCTAGAGACTTTGGAGTCGGCAAGGATGCGAGGAAGCCGACTAATTGCTTATGGAGTGCCGACTTTTGACGTTCATAACTTTTTTGCGATTTTTTTACTTTTCAAATCATGGATTCTAGCAGAGATAACCTCCGTATCGATCCTCATCACCGGGCTTCTCGGAGCGCCATCTATGCTTTCTTTACGGAGACCACAATGTTGGCAGAAATTGAAGTCATAGTCATTTAGATACGAACATTCAGGGCACGGTGCCGCTGGCTTCCAGATCCTTGGCCGCTGGACCTGGACAAACAGGAATTGATTTAGGAACCAATCGAAATGCTAWCAAATCCCATTGCAAAGGCCGGGAAACAAAACATTCGTGAGTGGAGGGAAAAAGCAAAATATCATGCTTTGCGCCCAACAAGTACTTTCTCCTGCGCCGACCCCTCGATGATTGGCCACCAATATGCCAGTGGGCTGAGCCGTGGAACCACCACCGTAACCGGAAAACGGCCGTCTCTTAAAAAACGCAACACCGGGCCCGCCACGACAAACGGCGGAAACACATATGCGTTCTCATCACTTGATATGGTCTGTGCAAACATATTGATCCCCGCTGACCCCGGACACGCGTGACGTGTAAAATGTCTCAAGGGTCGACCCCTAGTGTCTGTCTGGACGTTCGTGTCTAATGCCATTAAGTCGATTGAGTGAGGGTCGAACAGCGATTGCAGTTTCGCCCAACACTTGGGAGACAGTTTACATTCTTTGTCAGAGATAACCCGAGAAAGCCCGTCCGCCTGATTATCCTTCGATGAGAYGTGTTGGAGGCTCACCGAGATATTTTGCATCAAACACATGCTGTGGATTGCTTTGAGGGTGTCATTAAGATCTTTGTTGGCGCCTCCTTGTCTTTGCCATGAATGCACTAGGGTACTAGAGTCCACGTGAACATCTAGCCGGCAATTGGAAAGCAGGCTCTTCCCCGACTCRAGGGTGCGCAACAGGGCCATGGCCTCCTTAACCACTATAGGCTTTTCTCTTTCCGCCTCCCTCCACAGATCCCGGCATTCCACGTTGGCACCACCTGGGACCTCGAGAATACCTCCCCACGCGTACGACGAGGCGTCCGACCAAATTTTCAGTGTGCGGTGACGTTCGTCACACCATGCTAGGTGTCCCGCCCAGGTGTCGAGAAACCGCCACGACTCAATCTCGCGCCTTAGGTCCCCCGTCAATTTGACTGGTCTGTTGGAACGAAGTGACCGGGAGAT